GGGGGGGGTGGCAGTGTAGTCCTCCTCACCTTGTTTACGCTATCGGTTTGCTGTTGACCCTCCGCTCCCCCGCAAACATACACGGCGGCGTCGTCGCCTTCCCTGTTGCAGAGGCCCGCTGCGCCATCGAGGGCCCCGTGGAGAAGTTCGTGCGCTCCGGGTCGCAGCTGCGCCTGGTGTGCCACATAGACCAGTGCACGACGGAGCCCGAGTTTATGTTCTGGTACAAGGACGGCATCATGGTCAACTTCGACCAGCACAACGTTTACCAGGTGAGCTCAGCGCAGTATCAGCATTATTATGTATCGAAATGCGACTTACCTTAATTTTTCATTTCAAAAAATTAACATAGTTTTAGAAAAAAATACTTTCTCTAAGTTTATTATTATTATTATTGTTCGTTTTGTTTTTGCAATTTGCTCATCAAATTGGAATTTGTCCAGAAAGTACGTCCGCTTTTCTCAAACTCAATCGGGAAATAACGCGCGCGGGATCTCAGCGCCTGGGAGACTCTGGGTAGGCCACACCGCAATACACGCGTGCACCGCAGGCAAGATATTGCCTACCTGCCAGGCGGTATGAGCGCTGGCCGAGGCTGAACTCCACGGCGTGCTCGTAACGGCGGATGGCGGACGTACTTTCTGTGTGTCATAATCCTCTTGACGTCTGGACTGCTCCGTCAGGTGGTGGTGGACCTGCCCAACAACACGACGGTCTTGGTGGTGGAGCGCGTGACCCGCGCCCAGACCGGCAACTACACGTGCGAGGCGGCCCAGGCCAAGCCCACCAGCATCAGCCTGCACGTCATCAGCGGTTAGTACTCTAGTTCAGAAAACGTTTTGAACTCGAACATTCTCCTTGCACTACATTGTTTGTGTTTCTGCTCTGCGTGGTCAGTCGGTAGTTATTCCCTCCTTGAAAAACCGTTCGTCGCTTTACTGCCACTTTTCGTTTCTCTCCTCGACGTATCAATATTTTCCTAGGCATATAGCTTTTTTTGTATCCAGCGCCAATTAATATGAGCAGTATCAATTCACAGCTAGGGTGAGCAATATCCATAGCCAGCGGCTTTGCTTTTACTTACCAATATTCACAGCTACTGCCAGGAACCTTATTCTACAATCAATATTCAAAGCTAGCTATTTGCTCTACGCTGAGCAACATATTCACAGCCAAGGTATCTGTTTTATTTTGAGCAATATTCACAGCCAGGTACTTCTTTGACGGCCCCCTTCGGGACGCGACGGTACAGAGTTAGGTCAGCTCGTCCTCGTCCTCTCGTGTTTCCGAGCTGCCCCCCTCCTGCAGAGCTGCCCGGGCCGGCGGCGGCGGCAGGTCGCAGTCGCCGGGTCGTGGCAGCTCGTCCTCGACGAGCCTCTCGAATCGCTCCAGCGGGCACAGCGCGCCGCAGCCCTTGGGGACCATGCGCACCACCGGGCCGCCGGGCTCGCGCCGGTAGAAGAACTGGAAGTGGCACATCAGAGGTTGAACGAAACAGGAGGCGTTTGCGCTCGTTCAGCAAAACCTTTTCTATTTTCGCTAGAGCGGTAAAGATTTTTGCTCAAAATTCAAACTTGTTTAAGGTTGGAAGCCCTGGAGAGTTTTCGTAATGTCTTAGGAAAATTTTCGGTAAAACGAAAGATTTTCCAGACTATGGAAGTTTTCCGTTATTTTCCGGAAATTTTAAGGAATTTTTTGGAAATTTCCAACCTTAAACTAGTTACTCGAAGTGAAAAACTTTCTGATAAAATCATTTACAACCTTTTGTTGCATCTCTCTTTTTTGCATTTGCAGCAAAAAAAAAAGTCGATGTTGGTATATTGTCAAACATTTTGCTGAACCAGCACACAGGCCCTCTATTTTGCGCGCGTCTAGCGTGACAGGCTTATCAGTTGCGACGCGACGGGCCACTCAAGTTCTTCCGGAGTTCGGATTCTGCATCAGATTGAATTTCAATGGGATACAGGGCAAAGACGAGAGCTGCAGGATACCGGTTTCCAAAGCTAGTTTGAGTAAAATCAAGCAGTGTGCCTATTTTGTAGCTTGAAAATCAGTTTTTCTTGTTCTCCACGCAGCTTTTCATGTTTCCTAAGATGCTCAGCTTTGTTTTCGGAGGAATCCGACCTGGCATCCAAGCTAGCGCTGGCTTTCTGAAAACGTCAGCTTGGAAATGAAACTCTCGATTTCGCCTCGGTTTCTCGCCGTGTCGCACCTTGAGGCCGAGCGCTCCGTCGGCGCCCTGGTGCAGCTCGAGGAGGACGCACGCGCTGAAGTCCGGGATGCCGAAGCCCGCGTCCTCCTGGGGCTGCAGGCCGAGGGCGGCGATGAGGGCGGTCACGGTCGCGTCGTGCGCCGAGTACAGCTGCAGCCGGGGCTCCGTCTCGTGGGCGCGGGCGGAGCTCAGCAGCCAGGCGATCAGGTCACCTGGGGGGAGAGGTAAGGGTAGAGGGTGAGTGAGGGTTTAAAGGTCGACTCGATTCGACTTAGAGAAAAAAGGGAGGGAGGTAGGGGGGGGGGGGGTGTGCAAAAGCTGCAAAGGACCGCCCCCCAACCTTTTTCCTTGCCCATGAAGAGTTTCCGCAAGGCAAGGCGCTGTACTTTTTCGTCCCCGTCTCTTTCGTTGCTCATTGACTGATCTTTTTTTAAGAGGCTTTTACGGGAAACAAAGGGGAAAAGCTTTTTCTTGTTACTAGTTAATTTTTAAAAAAGAATGCGAGCATCGAGGGGGAAAACAATTGCAAAATAGTTTCCCACACCTTTCCCCGTAATAATAATATAGTTCGAAGTAAAGGCGAAATAGAGCGAAAAAGACGCGTACGTTCGTGAAACAGTCGCGAAATAACCCCGAAAAATATTGTGAAACACCGGGAAAGACCCCGAAATAATCCGAAATAACGGGAGTGGCTGGAGAAATTCTACGAAATGGGCAGCCTGTGTGCAAGGAACCCAATTGATTTCTCTGAGAGTATATATGCAGGCATGCACATATAAGGGTCAGTCAACTCACCGTAGGTCTGTCTTCGCAGCAGCGGCGTGTAGCTGTGCGACTCGAGGGCCACGTTGGTGGCGGACTTGAGGGGCTCGGGGTACACTCGCCCGCTCCACTCGGGGATCGTCATGTTGAGGAGCTCCTGCGGGGTATCAGGTGGCAAGGTCAGGGAGCGGCGGTCTGCGACCTTGGCCCCCCGGGGGCCAGCTGCTTACCGTGGGGTACCTTTTTGTCACTGGTCATGGCTTTTGGTCGACCCTGGCTCAGTCGCTTGGGGTATTTTTTTTTCATGGGTCCTGGTCTTTGCGACCCTGGTTTCGGGGCCACCAACCGTATAGGGTAGCTCTATCACGGGTCGCCTAATTTGGTCGAGACCAAAGAGTGAGTCCCTGAAGTGAATGAACCTACAGTGTGAATGGTTTGACTCCTTGTAAACCTGTGACTCCCGTTCAGGGCTTTTCCCCACTCTTTGCTATTTTGGATAAATGTTGAGGATCTGCCTCTTACCTGGCACTGTAGCGCCGAGAACACGGTGCCCAGGGCGGTCGGGTCGCTGTCCAGGTCCACGCCCGAGTGCTTCTCGATGTAGTCCAGGGTGTCCTGGCCGCCTATGACGCGTAGCGTGCGCTCGCGGAGGGTCCCCGAGCTGTTCAGCGCTTCTTTGGCGAGGTGGCGGCCGGGGCACGGCGCCGTGCCGGCCAGGGCGTGATCCTGGTCCGCCGGCACGACCCGGTACGCGATGGGGAACCACAGGCGGCCCAGGCCCGCGACGCCGCTGACGCCCCAGGTCTGCGACGGGCCGGGCGGGAAGAGGCCCGCGAGGACGGCGGCCGCGCTCTCCTGGGTGCGCTCGATGGCGGACGCGGTCACGCGCACCGCGCCCTCGGCGTACTCGGCGTCTAGCAGCGCCCCCTCGGAGGCCGGCGCGCACCCCGAGTCCACGTAGCGCGAGCGCAGCCACTGGCCGAGGACGTACGCCTGGTGACGACCGAGCTGCGGGCCGAGGTGGGGAGGTGGGGTCACCAAGGGTGGGGTCACCAAGGGTGGGGTCACCAAGGGTGGGGTCACCAAGGGTGGGGTCACCAAGGGTGCACGGGAAAAAAAAAAAAAAGACTTTGTCGCAGTGACCAACCTCTGTTCGATAGGCTTGAGTCGATAGCTGCAATCGAAAATCTGGGGATAGCAACCAGAAGTTGGTTGCCACGACCAAATACTTGTTCGACACAACCAAGGGGTGCTTTGTTGTTTTCCTATACAAGTATTTGATCGTGGCAACCAACTTCTAGTTGTAATCATCGGATCTTCGATTGCAGCTATCGACTCAAGCCTATCAAACAGAGGTTGGTCACTGCCACACAGTCTTTTTTTTCCGTGTGGGATCACCAAGGGTGGAATCACCAAGGGTGGAGTGGAATCACCAAGGGTGGAGTGGAATCGCCAAGGGTAGAGTGTAGAGAGACTGAGAGGGAGAGAGCCGTCAACTCGGGGCCCCGCACGCTGCGCTGTGATTGGACCGGCGCTGCAAGGCGCTGCGCCCGCTGGTTGGCCGGGCGGACGAGCCGAATGCACCCCGACCGTCGTTCGGATGACGCTCGGCTGCGCCGCCGGGCGCACACCGGTGCAGCGCTGCCGCGCATCTGTGTCGCCTGACCCTAGGAGGCTCGCTGGAGCCCGGCGGGCTCCGGAGGGTTTGCAACTCCCTGCCTCTGTGAGGCCAGATGTTAGGCTGGCCGACGGAGCCGCCCAGTGCCGGTCCAATCACAGCGCAGCGTGCGGGGCCCCGAGTTGACGGCTCTCTCCCTCTCGTCGCCCCCATGCAAGAAAGTCCGTTCTACGACGGTCGCCCAGAGAATGTCCGATTTACAAGCGTCGTTTGGAGAATGTTCGATCTGCATTAGCCCGGCTGGAGAACATTCGAAGCAACATTTTTGACTGTTTTGAGATATTGGTGCCATTTTACGTATCTCGCTAAGTTACATACAAGGTAGATGAACGCCAGACCACGTCTCGCGTAACAGGCTTCGCGATATCTCACGAAACACTGTCACGCTGCGACGCGCCTGGCATACATCTACCTTGGCCTGCGGCGCTGACACCCGAGTTGGGTAGTGGGAAAATGTACACAAAGGTACGGGCCTACGGCCCGTCAACGGCCAATCACCTCGACTAATCATGCACGGTTGTACATTTTTTCGCTTATTTTCGTCAAAAATACCCTCTAGCGCCTCAACGGTTTGAGCTAGAGCAAAACGGACAAAATTGTTTCCCAGAGGACTCTACTTTAATGTGTTACCCCTTAGAAAACCATAAAAAAATATTTTTAAAAATTCGTTCTCGAGTTATCGTGCGGACAGACACACACACACACACACACACAGACAGACGGACGGACAGATAAAGTTTTTTCCGACCAGACGGAGTAATAGGCTTCGCTAATCGCTCGGCCAATAATGGCACCAATATCTCAAAACAGTCGAAAATGTTACTTCGGATGTTCTCCAGCCGGGCTAATGCAGATCGAACAGTCTCCAAACGACGCTTGTAGTTCGGACATTCTCTGGGCGACCGTCGTAGAACGGACTTTCTTGCATGGCGACGCTCTGAGTCTCTCTAGTGGAGTGGAATCGCCAAGGGTGGAGTGGAATCAACAAGGGTGGGGCACTCCGCAAACGGGCAATACTTTGTTGGCCACGTAAGTTGTCTTTCATTTTTTACAAGCACATTGCACAAATTAATACTAGCCTTATGTCTTTTCAACCAAAATTAATCCCATAGGCGTGGCTGTGATATGTAAAACAAGCTGACAGGTGTACCAAATGCAGTGTAGACGGAAGGCTGATGATGCCGACAGTCTTACTCACCGCGGTGAGGTGCCCCAGGCCGAAGGGCTTGTAGTCGTAGTCCTTGTGGGGGTCGTTTGGGTAGGGCGCGGTGGGCGTGCGGGCGCCATGGCGGAAGACCTGGCGACAAAAGAAAGAGTTGCAATCAACTTTGAAACCACTTTAATCTCCGGCTTAGAAAAAACTGCTAAAAATGTCTGCATAATGACTGCATCCTGGTCTGCTGTAATGTGGGGGACGCTTTGGTTCCCGAATTGCCGATTTCATATGGAAAGGGAGAGGTTTTGAGTCAAATGGTTTGGGGCGTCTGATCGTCAGTCGGGCTGCACTGCACTCACCACCTGCACCTGCACCAGCCTGGTCCTGGTGGCCGCGGGCCAGGCGACGGCCGTCGGCGCCCACGCCGCGAGCAGGAGAAGGAGCCCAAGCGGGGCGGCGGCAGGATTGGGCGGCAGGGCCGGCATGGTGTTTAGCAAGAGACTGCAGCGCGGGCTGGGACAGACACAACCCTCATATACAGCGACGACATTCTCTGCTCCACGGGCTATCTTGACCCCCCCCCCCCTCTCTCTCTCTCTCTCCCAATTTCTCTCTCCCTCTACTATCTCTCTCTCGCTTCTCTTGCTCTTCCTCCTCTCCGTCTCGCTTGCTCTCTCTCCCACGCGGTCACCACACCGGGTCTTCGCGGAGACGCCGTGGTACTCGTGCAATATGTGTGAGTGTGTGTGTTTGTGTTTCATTCGAGCAAATATACATATGGATCTTAAATCTACGACGTCGGGTAAATATTTCGCTTTCCCCTGCAATCCTCTCTCTCTTTCTCTCTCTCCCTTTCTCCCTCTCTCTACCTCTCTCCCTATCTCTCTCTCTACAGGCCTTCGCCCCTCGCAACATTGTAATCCCGAACGGAGGCATTTCCTGGCGCGTCGTTTGCCCGCCGTCTGCCAATCCCACCGCTAGACTGACTGCTGCTAATGAACGACAATATCAGGATCGAAACAACGCACCCTTTTGAAGCGCTCAAAGGACGCAAATAGACGGTTTTTCCCTCATGTTTAATTATTTATTTCATGATTTATAAAAATTAAATGTGGAGCAGGCCAGGTTGGCAAACAATGTGTACACTGGCCGGAGCGGACGCCTGCGGGTCTTTTGGTGGGCCTGCCTGCGCGTTCTTGCGCCCCTGTGCCTGGTTCGTCACTGTGACTGGCGCGGGAGGTATGGTGTAGTACGCCACGTGTGCGCCTGAGCGTGTGACACGCGTTTGCAGTGCCGCGTTCGCGCGATGAGGGAGACTGGGCGCACGTCGCCGACGCGTGCGTGAGCAGCTTTGTGTGCGAGACAGGGGGGGGGGGCGTGGCGAGCATGGATGTGGATGTACAGTATTCTCATGAAACGTTGTTTCATCACCAGTGCTTTCTACAACCGCGGTGGCGTGGCGAGGCGGGCCGGGGCGACGCCCCCCCCCCTCCCTCCGCGGGACCGACTGTTTCGCGAGTTTACCCAGGCTGATAAATGGTATTTAGAATTGGCGCTCTGAGGTGGGCGCCCTTGGCTCGTTGTGTGGGAGGAAGAGGTAAAAGGGGGTAGGGGGGGGGGGAGATAAACACACACACACACTCACACTCCCATGACGCGTTTGCTATAGAGCGTTATCAGTTACGCTGCATCTTCATCTGCGCCTTTACGGACTCACTCCTTTCTCTTCTCCTAAACACTATCTCTTCTTCCCCCCCTGCCCCTTCTCTCTCTCTCTCACTCTCTCTTTCTTCATATCTCTCTCTCTCTCTCTCTCTCTCTCTCTCTCTCTCTCTCTCTCTCTCTCT